TGACAGGGGTCGGGGGGAGGGAAGTGGAGGTTGACCTCGGCTCCCGTCCGAGGTCGCTGTAGTGTGGACGAGTGAGAGAGGTTGAATAGAGCGAACAAACTCCCGGTTAGCCGGGGACGGACTCGCGGTCGACCTTTCGCTGTAGGCCTCATGCCGCGCGGTCACCGGGGAAGTTCCTGGGCCTCGGAGGGCTGGGCCAGCGCGGGAGGGGAAGTGAGAGGTTGTTTATGACCCGGACTAATCTCCGCCAGTCACACTCCGCTCCCGCGAGGGAGTGGAGACCAGGGGCGCGCCTCTCCCGCCCCTGGGCGGCCAGACGCGGGCCCTGCAGCAGGCCAGGGGCCATCTCTGAGGCGACCCACCAAAAGGGAACACTTTCCTCATCCAACACCAGAAATATGGGGAAAACTCACATGTGGCATGGAAACATACCCATTCCTACCCAGAGAAATATCTTCCCCAAGCCGTGTTAAAAGCAATGGAGTATCAGTTTTAAGAGTCGAAAGGAACTTTGGCAAATAATCCACTTACCCTTAAAGTGAAAAAAAATGACTTCGGCTTGCCCAGGTGACCCAGAGAGAGGGTTCCCCTGTAACCCTGTCCTTTCAAACTCACTCCAGATTACTATATGAAGGAAAATATTTTGTTAAAACTGCTGTTGTTTCACTGAAGTCATCAATCTGTTCCTCCAAGTCAGAAATCGTTTTTGCGGAAATAGTTGGAAAACTGAGACACAACCTTAAATACAAGTTGAATTAGGGTCATACATCCCTTAAAGGACTAGATATTTATAGTGACTCTCCCACTAGTCCTGCATATCTGGATTTTATTCTTTACCCTGAAATTCTTAAATTTGTCTATTAATCTACTGATCATTTCTCCAAATGGAATTGTAGATATGAATCTGAGTTCTGTGGCAATATACAAACTGACACCAACATTTTCTTTCAAAGTGATCATTTGGGTAATTTTCATACAGTGCAGCTTTCACTTGTCAGTGCTTTCATCTATAATCTGTGGACTCTTACCTGTCTGAAAACATATTTTCCAGGTCATAATAATTTATTTTTTCTGTACATTAGCCAGTTTTGACAAACAGGATTTGATAGATAAAATTTGGATGTGGTGAAAGGAAGAATCGGCTGATGAAAAAAAAAATACTGGGCATCAGATATGTGAAGAAAAGAAGGTCAGATGGCCCTGCTGATGGCTTCCTGGGAAACAATAAAATTCAGCTAAGATAAAGCACCAGGTGCACGAAGAATAGTATAAGATCCGGAAGGATAGGTCAGTCTACCTTTAGATTTATTCCAAGCTAAGAAAGAAAAAGTATCCTGGGCTGGGAATTTAGCTCAATGGTTCTACCACCTGCCTTGAAAGTGCAAGGTCCTGAGTTCAATCACCAGTAACAAAACAAAACAAAAAAGTTTCCTTATAAATTGAAGGGTTCCAGTTAGGGTACTAAGTACAAAACAGTGTTTGTAGAACATCAAACTAGTGTATTGAAATACATTAGCAAACATTAATAATGCTTACCTACTTAATTACTGTTATTTTCTAATAGAAACAGCAGTTCTTCTATGAATCAGTAATGCTGGCAAACTGTCACATTAGAGTCCATAACTGGAGGTATATAGTGGAGACATGATTAGATGCAAAGATGCAAAGTGCCAAGTCTAGAGTCAACCTAGAGCATCTAACTAGAACTCATGGTTATGATGACACCTGAGATCAAAGATGATTTTTCTGGTTCAGAAGTCCTGAAGTGCCTGAAGGCAAGTCCTTGGGACGCAACCAGAAAATCTGGGTATGCACAGGCAGCAATTTGAGAGGCCGTCAGAAACCAAGAAACATTGACAAGTGTCCCTTGACAAATTGTCAAATAGGTCAAGTTTATTCTTAGTGATTCTGGTTGACAATTTAGCTACTGGCTGATAATGGCTTAGACCTGGTTGTTACCTAAGATATACAGATTGACATCACCCATAGAGTTTTGGGGGGCAAAGAAAAAGAACCAACTGTCCATACCCAGAGAAAAATTACTCAGTAGCGTAAGATGGGCCCTGGTCATTTCATTTTCTTTTAAAACACTTTAGGTGACATAAATAAAACTGATGATAACTGCATGCTTAATGTATAAGAATAACAGAAATATCTAACATCTAGTAGTACATGTCACATACCCTTAGCATTGTTTCATTTCTTAAAAACAGCTAAACTCTGCACAGTAAAATAGAAGTGTGTGGTAAATGTGTGATCACCAATATATTTAACATACATTTGTGACATGTTTATTCTTAGTGATTACTTGAATTTAACTATGTTTGGCAAAAAACCAAAAAAAAAGAGCAATAATAGTGGAGGTTCCCACTGTTCCTCAGTGAGCTTTGGCCCTGTAGTAAGCAAAAGATGAGAACAATCTCTTCAGTTACTTTCTCTGATTCTAGAAAAAATTCTGGTTATATTCCAACTTATTTTTTTCTAAAACATGGCCCCTAAATGCAAGCCAAATATTTCATCAGACTCAACAGAAGAAACCATGAACTTTTGCAATGCTAGAGGAAAAACTAGTATGAGCAGTATGTGCTAAACCCTGTGCTATTGCAGTCCCAGAGTTTAGGGAAGATTTTTCTGGGTGGGCATTAGTCAGAAGAGGTCTATAAAGAAAATTTGCTCTTTGTTATTGTTTTTAATTTTTTTTTTTTTGTTATTGTTTGTTTCTTGAGACAGGGTCTTACTATGTATTCTAGGCTGACCTTGAATTAACTGTGTAGCCCAGCCTGGCCTCAAACTCATGGCAGGCCTGCCTCAGTCTCCTGAGTGCCGGGATTACAGATGTATGCCACCACACCTGGCTTTGCTGCTGTTTTTAAAGGAATGGTGTCCAAATACTCTCACTCCATTTTAAAAGGGAATAAATTAAAAGTATGTGGAAGGCCAGGTATGGAGGTACACATCTGTAGTCCTAGCACTTGGGTGGCAGAGGCAGGAGGATCACTGCAAGTTCAAGGCCAGCCCGAACTATACAAGGAGACCCTGCCTCAAAAATAAGTAAAATATATGAAAGCCACTGAAATAATGGTAGCTAGCACGTATCATAGCCTAAATTTTTGAAATGGAGCTATTCTAACAGAAGTAAGAACTGATGAGTTAGATTCATTCATAGCCAATAAGGGTCCTTTTAAATTATTTTAAACCAGTTAAGCAGGGTAACACAGTTTAAAAATAATTATGAGGGAATCCCTTGTCTTACAGCATCTGGAAAATCAGATGAACCTAGTAGTCCTTGTACAACCTAATAGTTTCTTTTGACTGTCTTGATCATTTCCTCAGCCCTTCTGCTCTACTGTTTTCTTTCAGATCAAAATAATGAGTGATATTAAGAACCTCCAAACACATGTAAAAGTAAGCATAAAATATTAGATATGAAACTATGCAGACAATGTAATCAGATCATATATGTAGAAGAAAATTTAATTTTGATCACACTAATATTAGAAAAAATGCTAGCGGGAACTGCTTGTAAAAAGAAATTGGATCTTTCCAACTGAATAGTGTTTCACAGTAATATTTGAAGTCTCAGTTCAAGATCAGCTCTGCAAATGGACATACTCAAATTGATAAGATCAGCGTGGAATAGTTTTTCTATTAATAATAGTGAAAGAGCATGAACATTTCAGTCATTTCCTTACATTAATTGCACATCTAATATGTGACTATATAGTATTCCTCAGAGAATTGATGGAAAGACAGATAAACAGATGAGAATATGATTATTATATCAGCAGACCCTGGTCATGATTTAATAAGATTCTTTTTAGAGAGTTGTTTTGAAAATACTGTATTTTATCAATTTTGGGATTCTA